TAGGCTCCCATGGCTGATGCTGAAAAACCAAAGGATTTTCAGCATTTTTTTTCCACTCACTAGGAATCTCTCATGCCTGCCCAGGTGTACGGGCAGCCTGGGAAAAGCAGAGCCACTGACTGTAGCTACTGGTGATCAGGGATGGTGACTGGCCAGGAATGAGGATGGAAGCAGGGAAAACTGGAGGAGGTTGCAATTGTTGACCAGAGGACAACCTATTTTGATCTATACCTGGAACAGCAGACTACAGAGCATCCCAGAGCCACACCAATTCAAAGGAGGCTAAATTGTCACCAGGACTGACACCACTGTACAGTTTCTGTGTGGCTTTACACCACAGGGCTCAAAGGGAAGCAGGGTTCCCAGCAGCACAGCCATCACACTCTTCTCATGTTGTCCCTTCTGTCTGCTCTGTGTTTGCATTAAAAGCACTCAGGTAGTATGCAAGTCTCCAGCCAGACTGACTGAAAGGCAAACTGACATGCCAGTGAATAGTTCTGGTGATACTTCCCTGTGCTTTGTCACCCAAATTGTCATTCCAATTTCTCTTTAGAACACCAAGAAGTAGCTGATGGTCATCAGAAACATCATGAGATCACTACTGGCATGGATTATGTGACCTTGAATTATGCATTCATAGCAGACAGCATGACTGGAAAAATCAGGAAATATCAGAAGAATGTGTTGAAGCCTCTATGAATTCTCCAATTCTCCATGTAAAAGTATGCTTATTTTCAGTAGTGGTTTTTCCCACAGATCTGTTGTGATTTTCCAAAAAATAATCAATAGCCTTAAATTGTTACAATACAATTGTTGTTATTACTTCAGAATACAAACAAAACTCTGGACTTTCATCCGCTGACAGGGGACTTAGTTTCAACTCACAGTTTTCGAAGAGTCTCAGTTTTGAGCACTATGTAAGACTCCTTCATCTAGACATCATAATTTAAAAGAAACCAGTCGGTTAAGAAGTGAGCTATAACAGGATATAAAAATAACTCTAACACAAAAGCAATTTGCATATCAGATTATTAAATGAAAATCTATCAAAGAGTCATCTATTGAAGTAAACAAATGGTCTATCTGCCCTGTCTCTGGAAATATTTTGCCTCAGCGAAAAACTTAAACCTGGGCAGATAATGGGCAGATAATCAGGGTAAGGTATTTGAACATTTAAATCTTGCTGGATCCTTTAAAGTAGGTGTTAAGTGATGCATTAAATTTGTGCTGTTTCTTCTGAGCTGGGTAAATTTGCTCTTCTGTAAATAGTGGGGAAACCTTTTACAATAATTTGAATCCATGAATAAATGTAATGTATTAAAATTTCTAAAGTACAGGCATTAAATGTTTTTGTACATAAGCCAAATGAGAGGAATATCCAGGACTAGAATTATTGAAGTGACCACAGAAAGATAATATATAATTAAAATGACATCTGCACCACTAACCGCGGGGATGAGAGAAAGCGACATCACAGACCTCATATAAGCTCCAAGTGTATTATTAGATCTAAACCTGGCTGTAAAATTACTATCTACCCAAGGGATTATCTTTAGGCATTCAGAAGCATTGTTTCATTTACTGATAGAACAGGGATGATAACAGGCTGACTTTGCTTGTCACATTGTTTTTTGGCCTTTCTTTATTCTTTGTTCACATTAGCTGTAGATAAGAGGAAGACAAGTTTCAGCTGAATCATGGTCATGGAGCTTTTCATTGTTTTAGTTTGCTCCAAAGGCTTTTTTTATCCTCCCTTCCCCCTCCCCTCAAGAAAAGAACCCCAAAGCATTTTTAATGGTGCTAAAATCAATGGGGAGTAAAAGATGCGCACAATGTAACATCCAGGAATGTGGCAAACTAAGGAATACCCATTGGCCTAATGCACCTGAGGGAGACCATAAGACTTTGCTTATAGCTCTCATTATTGGCACAAAGAACCAGTGGCTGCTAGTTACATCTTGGCCTTATTAAAATTCAGTGCCAAAACTCCAACTGGTTTCAGTGGGTACATTTCATCATTTGAAACCTAGGACAGAGGGTGTAATTCTTCTTCACGTGTGGGGACACCTCATCTCTACACATTTAATTTCTGCATTAAATTGAAAAAAGCTGCATTTTCTTCTGTTTCACACACCATTGTTATGTCTCTGACATAAATATTAGTTGCCTATATTTATTACAAGACTCATGTGCCACCAATCTAAAACATTCAAAATTCTAATATTTTGGCAGTGAAAAGAGAAAAAAAGAAAGTCCCAAACTTTCCAGTCACTTCTGAACAATAGTGATCCTGAACTGCAAAGGAGACTTAATTTGCATTGAGAAATCTGTCCCTAATAGTCTAACTCCTAGCACTTGAAATAGCTCCCATATGCCAATTTTGCAAACTAAGCAAAGGTCCTGGAGCAGACGGCTCCACAGCCAGCCATGGAGCTGTGCACACACTGCTAAGGCAAACACGGACCTTGCACCTTCCCCCACCTTGTCCTGGCGTTGGGCACCCAGTGTCATGTGTTATCTCTTACAGCACCTCCCAATATCCCTTCCCATAGAACCCAGAGCCTCGGGTCAACTGCTGTAACCTGCAAATGGGCTGCGTTATGCAGATTTCTGCCTCCTGATCTTGTCACTGCAACTTTGCTTTTTTCTGTGCTGTCCCTTGTTAAAGGGAGTGACCAGGTCTAGCACAGAGAAGGGTTTAGCCCATGATTGATCCCATCAGTGCTAGGGCCACAGAAACACACTGCCTTTCATTAATAACAGTTAATACAGCAATCACTTTTATTCCACATTAGGTTGTTTCATTGTCCCTTTTAAGCTTTCATAATTCATACACAGAATAGACTTTCCATGCAGATCCCTTTGGCATGAATCTTTGATTTAAAACTGTCCATACCTACAGCCACATCTGTAGGCCATTAAAAGTTCACACTGGACCTATGCAGTAGAAATGAGGTGCCTGCAAGCAGTTTATATGCATCATCACTGCCAGAAAATATTCCTGCAGCAGTCAGCCTGGACCAGGAACCTTGTTTATGAATCATAAGTTTTTTGTGGCCAGTCAGTGGTGCTTACCATCCTTTCAGATGAAAAGAAAAACAAAGACTGATAAAGGTGGGCTGAAGGAACAATAAGCAGCATGTAGTGATAAACAGCAAGAAATGTAGAAGGGAGACATCACTGCAGAAAAAGCCAAAGAGCAGCAATGTATTTTAATATAGATTTAATTTTTAAATGTGTCCTGGAAGTAATGTAGGGTAAACCAAAATAAATTTTATCCTGAAAAGTGGCAGCTGTGGGGTGAAGCTGTGAGAATAATTTGGCAAGATCCTTTCTCACCTGTGCTGTTACTCCTTCAGCATTACTCTTCATCTCAGAGGGGTAAGAAGAATCTCTTACACCTCAGTATTTACAGCTTTCTTCATGTGGATGCTGTGTGTTTCATGCTAATTGTTATGCAAAAATTTGTTTCAGTTACCTCAAAAATGGAATTCTCACTGATATTCTGTTTCTCACAACACATCCATATTCCTCCATGAAAAGAAATGTAACTTCATGCAATAAAAGGAAATGAAAGTGGAATGCAAAAAAAAATTAAGTGAAAAAATATGAAAAGAAATGAAAGGAAACCTCAATAAATGAAATCTTGATATTTCATATCCTTTAATGAAATGAAAATTAATTTCATTAAATAAAATGAAAAATCAAATAATTAAATTAAACATCATGGGATAAAGGGAAATGAAATTTATAAAAAAAACCCCTAAAAAATAAATTAAATGAATTAAAGAAATCAAATGAAATCTTGGGATTTCATGTCATGAATGAAAATTAAAAGTCAAGGAATTAAATGAAACTAAATTCAATGGAATGTATTGAAATGAAATGAAATGAAGTTAAATTAAAAGAAATTAAAGAAAACATACCAAAATGGAATTACATGAAATCTTGAGATTTCTTTTCTTTTCCTTTCCCAAAATGAGTTTTCATTTTGGGAAAGGAAATGACATGCCAAATAAAAGAATGAAATTAAATGAAATTTAAAAACTGAAATTAAAAACTGATATGAAATGCAACAAAATTAAATTAAATGAAATCTTGGGATTTCATTTCTTGAAAGGAAGGACATTACAAGTCAAGAAATGAAATGAAATTAAACTTAATGGAGAAAAAGGAAAAGAAAGGAAAAATAAAATTAAATTAAAAGAAATCTTGGGATTTAATTTATTTTCATGCTTGTTCTTCTTTTGTCCAAAACAAGCTTTTGTATCATAGAACTGAAGCACAGGCCTATGTTCCAAATGCTTCATATACCAAAAACAGAGAGACTTTGATTAAAGAGTATGTGCCTTCACATACTTCATAAAAGAAGAGTGACTAAAAACAAACACAGAAAATCTCCTCAGAGTGCCTTATGTTTGAAAAAAAGAAGTAACAAATGATTTGCTAACAATGGGTAGCCATTTGTTTGCACACTTCAGGTGGTATTTACTGCCTTTCTATTTAGCCATCTCAGCTCAGTGACTGCTCTAACCAGACATTCAGATTCTTCCCATGTTCCAAAGCAGCAGAAACTGGCACAGGACTCTGTGAAACCCTCTTCAGCTCTTAGGGAGAGATTGGGTTGAAACACTCAGTGGGGGCTTTTTTTTTCCTCTGGTCCTTGAGGAAAAGTAGTGTAGACATGACACATGACTTTAGGATGAGAAAAAATTCCACAGGCTGAATCCTTCCTTCTGAGTCTAGAAACTAGGTTGAGAAATCATCGCAGATGTAGCTTTTCTGCATCCTTACTTGAAGAGAAATACTAAGAGAAGCAATATTGGAATGTGTTAACAATTCTGCCTGATGGTACATAAACCTAAAAATCAATCAAATCTTCACTAAAACACTTGGAATGTTCAAAGAGATTGAGTTTGTTTTTCAAAGAAGCTTATGCCACTTCCAGTTTTTCCTGAAAACATTTGCTTATCCATATATTTATCACAAAATAGTCTTACCTGAGCTGCATCCTGTTGGTGTCTGTAGACAATTGCATTTTTTATGGTTTGGATAAAAAATCCATTCAGTTCCTTTTGTTTCTTATTTGGAAAAATGCGTAGTAATGGGATAATTATGGATGGGAAAGAAACTGTAAGAGATTTTAAAGAAGAAAATATTGAATCAGACTGCGAGGGCATATAATCCTCCCCCTTGCTCTACCTTAATATTATAAAAGTTACCAAGTGGGATGTGTTCCTTTTATAAAAACTGATTTTTCCTCTCTTCCACTCCCTTTAGCAACCTGTGAGAGTGGAAGAGAAAGAGGTTTCCCTTTTGGAGATGTCCTGCTGGCCATGACTCACTTTCCAGACAGATGCCTTCCAAGCTTGTTTCCACAATATCTCAGGATTTTGGTTCGGATTTTTGGTGCCACAGAGCCACCACAACAAAGAGGAGCATTATTTCTCCTACCTGCTCAATTACATAGGGAAAGTAAAAAATCTTGAACTGGCCTAGCAGCTTATGGCACCCCCACGTGAAACTGGGTCGTTTTCATTCCTTTTTAACAGGAATGAACAGGAATTCATATAGGCCCCTAATACTCTACAGTATTAGGGACTTAGATGAAGGATGGGGCTCTTTAGCAGGGCCTCTTGCAACAGGACAAAGACTATGGGGTTTAAACTAAAAGAGAGCCAATTCAGATTAGATATAAGGAAGAAGTTCTTTACAATGAAACTTGTAAAACAGGGGCACAGGTTACCCAGGGAGGTGGTGGATGCCCCATCCCCGGGAACATTCAAGGTCAGGATGGAGGAGCAAACTGACCTGGTAAAAGACATCCCTGCTTATTGCAGAGGATTGGACTAGATTACTTTTTAAGGTCTCTTCCAACATACAATACTGTGTGATTATGTTTCTCTAAACAGGCCACAGACTCAGGAAGTGGGATATAATCACAAGGATGGTCTTCAGTCCATACTTTTATAGTCACAACCTAGAAACCTGAGTGAAGGCTTATATCCTAATAAACCCCTCATAAAATTATGAACAACTTAAGACTAATGAAGCAATAACTGGATAAACCCTGTCCTGCCTACAGGGCAACTACATTGTGGAAATTTTCACCACATTAATGAATGAGCAGAAAGAGATGAATCAAGGAATCCAACTCCAAACACTACAGAAACTTCTCTTTCATGAAGGACACTTTGCTCTTAGATGTATACAGGCACATTTCTGTCCCTTAAGATTTTGGTTACAAATCACATTTTGCAATCAGGTTAAATGTTAACCCCAGGGCAATTCGGATACACAACTCCAAAAGGAAACAGTTGATGTGCTGTGGGTAGAGGTGCAATCTGTAATGCCAGCAGGATCAGATGGGCACAGGAAACTTTGCCACTGTGCCACCTGATACTACTGTGTGCAGGTCTAGATAACAAGATGATAAAACCTCAAAAGCCTTGACTATGCTGTGGCTTCCTCAGCTGTGATTCTTACTGCCCTTGAATTATCAAGATCATCACCACCATGAAGCCTAAGCTTTCATGCCTTAGAACTACATGATTTTATAGCCCATTCTTGCATTGCCTATCTATTAATCTAAAATAAATGCATTCTCTTCAGGACACCTGTGTTCTTTATCCTTCAGAGCCATCAACCAGGCTGTGGACAGTGTTCAAAAAAGAATTGGGAGTACTTATACAATCTTTTTATACTCTTCCACCTCTTTTCTTTAGTGGGTTGTTAATGGGTGGGATTTCAATCTCTACTAAGCAAACCAAGTGCACAAAAACTTTACACTTATGTCCCAAAGGGAAATTACTCTGTTTTAGTGAGAAGTATACTAAAAAAAATATTGTAGAAACTGCAGGACCCAGAAACTTTCCTGTCAGATGAACCAGGAGCATCGTGTTCCTGGACTCTCAGTTTCTGGAGTAAGTTTCATTAATGGTGACAAGACCTGTAGAGCATGTGGTGGAAATGTCAAGGGTAGAAGTGGTGTGTGGGTTGCATTCTGAATCCCTCTGAAATTATGTCAGCTATAATACTTCCTACCCTGGCTTCAGCATGTTTTGCAATTTGACAATGACTTTTATGAAATTACCACAAGAAAGTAGACAAACGTAGACTATACTCACGGATTAGAATAAGAAGAGGCTTAAACAAAGACATTTCGAAGAATGTTCTGCAATTCTTAACAAAGGGGTCATCAGGATTCTTCTGGGAATCCACCTCAATACCAAAAGCTACGCTACCAACGACATCCAAGGTAAAGCAGTTGTAACACCTGCATTTAATTGAAGAATGATAAATTATTATCTACAAATATCTACAATCTATCTATACCCATTAATCTTGCTTCTACAAACATCACATAGCATTAGTGTTTGCCACTGAGTTTTCTTTTGCTTTTAAATTTGAGCTTTGCCAACAAGATATGTTTCCATCATTCTGACAAATGGGGATACTTGATAATGATCACTTTCTCCATACCTACAAAGTGAACACATTTTCATACAGCTCAGTAATTCCATGAAAATTTTATTAAAAACAATTTAATTTGTTATGACATAGAAATCGAATGCAACACATCAGAGATGCATAAGCATTTTCTTAGTATGCATCCTAATAAATGAGACCACTCCTTTCTCATTTTTAACTGCAAAAACCACACCTATTTCCAGTCCAGTCTGAACGCTCAGAGACAAGAGGTTCTTAGGTAAAATTAAGGTCCTGAAGGATTTATTTATTTTTCTTCTTCATACCTGCTTTGTAATGTAACTCTGTGGATAAAATCAAGAGAAACTGATGCCAAGTGAAATCTGAAGAGGAGACACCAGTGCTTTGAGAACTCCAACTGATCTGTGAACCATGATATAGAAACTGCAGAACTTACTAAATGGCTCCCTGAATATCTCACCATCTATCCATTTGTCTTACCATCTTTATTTTCCTAGTGGGCTTTAGCAGCTCTATTAAATTTTGAGGTAAGTGGACTGAGAATGTAAAATATCATTAGAATTTGATTCCTCTGGTCTGTGGTGAAGTAAGCAATGTGTGTACTTCCATGAGCCTTACAAAAGGCTAATATCAGTCTCTGCTGTTTTAATCTGAGTGAGCATGTATGAAGAGAACAACAGGAGTCAGGCCCATTATATCCTGCATATATTATGTGAATCAGTATTTCTAAACTACAATCTTTGTGACCTGCCATTCTGATCACACCAGAGAATAATTAAAAGATAACAAAAATAATACAACACTCACTTCTTTTGGTCTTCAACTCTTACACACACAAAAAGCATCATTAGAAGTTAAAATGTTAAAGGGGGGGGGGGGCATTGCTATGAAACAATAATTTCAGAAGGACTCAATCATCTACCTCTCCAAGGTACTGAAAAAGAAAACAACCTTAAAAACTAAATTTTGAGTTGTTGGCAAAACACAAAACAGCTAAAGACAACTAAGGTCATAGGAGTTTACAGATAGGTCTTTTCATCCAAAAAAACAGCTCCCAAGGCAATTCTGTAAAACTGCAGTGGAATGAGAATCACATTTATAAATACATCAAACCTGCTGAAATGGTAGTATGGTAAAACAACTGGAAATATCATGTTCCCAGATGGTCAACATCATTCATTTATACATTCAAAGGGTCTTTTCCAAAGTGTCTCTTGAGAGGTGAAACCCTATAGTGGATCAATAGCTAAAAGACCACTCAAAGACAAAGGACAAATGGAAAAATGGAAAAGACTGAAAGGACTGAAAAGGTCAATTTTCATCACAGCACTAGGCTAGTACAAGGTATCTTGAGGTTTCATAGTATCTCTTCAGCTGTTTATTAAAGAGATCTCTGTGCACACATGCAGGTGCACATGTACGTGAAAAAAGATTAATAAATTGTGGCTAAATATGCATTTCTTCTGATGAAACAATATTATTTGTGCTGCTTCAGTTTGGGAAAATCATTAAGAACTTCAGAAGGCACTGACCAACCCAGCAAACAAAGTGAAAGCAAAATGAAGCAAAAATAGTGCCTGTTAGAAAGGATGTATTTGAACTACTACCCAGGACCTTAGAGGAGATGCAGCTACTCAGAGAAGGGACTAGACAGTGTTGTGAACAGTTCAGTGAAGACCTCTGATGAAAGAGCAACAGAAAAGATAATAGGATATTAAATGCATAACAAATGAGAGAAAGTACAATATGGAAAATATTAAAATGTAATTTGATAAATCAATGGTGCATTTTCATCTGGAGTAGTGATCCTGTTGCTTCCCCAGAGCTAGCATGCCACGAGAGGGAGTTATGAAAAATGTGGTAAGAATAATTAACTGCTCAAAAAAGCCTCATATAAAAAAAAGCAAAAGAGTGATGGACTAGATATATTTGATACTAGACAAATTCTTATGTTTGTACATTATTGGCAGCCTGCAGAGAACAGACTGGACAGGGACTGATGCAGGTTCCTTTGTCCTTCCAGCTGTTAAAACTTCATTAAGTAACTACCAGAAATACCTTAGATGCTTTACCAAAATTACTTTTCAAGTATGCAATGGCTGTCCCAGGAAGAAAAGGCTTTTACCAGACACACCCTCCATTAAACTATGATCTCCATTTTTCAAAGTGAGGGAAGAAAAAAAAAAATCTTTTCTACAGTAAGTGTGAATTTAGAATAACTGCTGCCATTGACATTTTTTCTTGTTTTTTTTTTTTATAATTTGCTACTAATTTTTGACATGTTTAACATACCTCTGGATATCAAAAGCTTTGCTGGAATCTGCATAGACTTTCAAGTTACACAGCAGGATGTCACAGGCCTGGTTTATCAGTGGTGTCATCTGGAAAGAAACATATTGAATTGTGAAAAAACATTAAAATGTTAAGAAAAACACACCAAACAGAAATAATTATTTTAAAATATTTTTTATCCAATAAATGGGATAGAGCTCTCTGTTTCCTCTGCAGGTTTTGTTAGGCACTTATGTGCAGGTAAGATGAAATATTGGCACTTTCTGCTCAAAATAAACCTACACATTACAGGGATGCCCTTCTCCAGCTCTGGGCCTAAAGAGGCTGTGTCACCTACCTGACCAACAGAGACCTATCAGGCAAATATATCCCCCTCTCTGTTTAATCGCTACAAACAATGATTTATCATGATCTTCATTTGCACTACACCACATTTAGGTTACATGTGTTCCAGGGCAGAAGGAATAATGCTTTCCAAAGTCCTGTAAAGGCATTGGCATCAGTTCTATCCTGCCATCTCTCAGTTTGAGGGACTTAAAACATAACTGGAAAATGACCTGGAATACCACTACAAGCTGCTGAGGGCAAACTGCTATTGGTACATGAGGAAAGGCTTTTCTCCAGTGATGATGCCATTAAATGGACATTTGTGTGAATTTATTAATCTAAGGATTCTTTCCAGTCACTGACACATGGTGGTCAGGTAGACTTAACCACAGCTTGGCTGTAGCCACCGGTGCAATAATCTCTTCTTTAGGGCTTCATGGAAACCATAGCACAGGCAAACATCAAGGTCTCATTAGAGTCTCACTTTCTGTCTCTTTAGCTTCCTGAGGGATCAGACACTTCCCTAAATGTACCAAATGGGGGGACAGAGGAAGGGAGTAGCAGCAATCCAGCCATGAACCAAAAGGAATTATATCCTACAGCTCTTTCCCATATAGACTACAAAGAGCAGCCTACATCTTAATACCAGTCTTGCCTCATCAACTATGTCAAGCATCAGCAGTGTACACACAGAAACTTGCCTTTCCTTCCTAAACTACCTCCTTCAGCATACGGATGTCAACAAACATGAGAACAGATTTATCCTACTCCTCTGACATCCTTGTTACCAAAAAAGACTTACTGCAGCCTCGCAGCACACTCTGAGAGCTATGCAGCCTGCCCAGCCAAGTCCATTTTGCTTGGCACTTCTACCTCTGTGAAACTGGCATAACACTTTGTGCACAGGCACACTGCCATCTTAACACATGGGCAAGACTACACGCAGTCAAAAGGCCAACGCGGGAGCATCCAATATGTTTTCCAAAGGCACAAGTCTGACTCAAGAACTTGTCTAGCTGCTCTTGAGGTCTCGTGCCTATATGAGAGAAATTACATTGAAAAGCCAGGTCAATTTGGGCTTTGCTACAGTGTCACAAGGCAACTCTGGTGCCAGATTAGTGTTTGGGAAAAGGAGCTGTTACACTTTTGGGAGGTGCACACCTCAGTTATGTGGCAGCCTTTTTCATCTTTTGGCTTTCTAAAGAAGGTCCCCGGCAGCAAGCTTCATCTCCAAAGAAGCTTCAACCAAATTAATACATCTCTGTTCAACAGATTGAACCAAGGTGAAATATTTTATAATCTCTGGGTCCAGGCTCCCCCAATGAACTGAACCAGCCAAGGAGAACAAAATTAAAATCAGTTTTTTAACAGGTATGATGTTTCTGAAACAGATGGTGATCATTTCAGATTTTCCTTTTATTGCTTTATTTTCTCTTTTATTCTTCATCACATCACCAGATCTGTAAGCAGCCAGCTGGTTGCTATCACCTTTCAACAGCTGGCAGAGACATCAGGGGCACGTACGTCTGGCCAGGGCATCCCACAGCACCTCTGCTCTTTGCACATTCCACCAGTCTTTAGAAATACTGTTGCAATTCATTCCCAGCCATAAGGTATTTTTATTAGTAAATCTAACCAGGAAAACAGGGAGGCGGGCACATGGATTTGATCTACTGTTAGCATGATAGTAACAGAGTCATGTCAGTAAGACAATTATTTGTATATGAAAGCTACGGGAGATATTTACTCTAGAATCCTAGGTTGGGTTTGGGTTTTTTATTTCCCTGGGGGACATAAATTAGTGCAAGATTGCAAACTACAAAGATCACAGACTGAAACATTTTCAAATCTCATAACACCTCAAAATCTTTGACTGATTGTCAAAAAAAATAGTGTCAGGGTAGGTGAACTATACCAAGCATAGAAACTTGACATGTTGATCTACACTGGCTTGGGTATCAGTTACTTCCCATACATTCTGATTTGCCAGTCAGAACATAAAACCTGCATAACCTGCCTGAGATTCAGTTCTTGATGGGTAAATAAACCCCAGATGCTTTGTGTTCAGATTGGCTGAGAGTAACAGGATGAAGCAAAATCTAAACAATATGGTCCCTGTAAATATTTGATCTGACAGTTATCTAATAGCAAGAGTAGCCCAGAGTCCAAATTTCTTTCTTTCTGCCAAAGAAGAGCATTTGGGGTTAGGGTTTTCATGATGCCAAGGGTTTTGCTGTATAAATCCTGCCAATATGCTATTTGGCACATAAGAACAATTAGCTTCTGCTTCTGCATATGTACAGTGCATGTGGATCTTTGCACTATTCAAAAGCATCCGAGTCACATTCCTCCAGTTAGATGTGGCCCTCAGTATTCATCAGTATTATTATTCCCCTTGTTATTAGCATCCAAACCAAAAACTAGAAGGCTGGATCATATTCACTGTAGGCAGACACACTGGAGACTTTACTGTTTACAGACAGCAAGCAGAAGTCATGTTGGACCTCTTGTCCCACAAATGTTATAAAATATAAAGGAGGGAGAAGGAGAAAGAATATACCCCTAACACAAGAATTGCTTCTCTTCCAAATTTCAAGGCCCTGAATAAAACCAGGAAAAGAGCAGAGTGATAAAAAGATGTTTTGTGAGAGGATTTGTTTCCACCACCCGAGAGTGCAGCTGTGCTATTCCTGGGCACAACTTACCAAAACGAGCAACTCAACAAGATATTGGCCTGAGGCTCAAGTTTATGCACATTTCATGTACTAGTTTTTACATTAGTGATTTGCTTTGTCTTATGTGAGCACACTTGCTTTGTCCAGCAACAGCAGCAGTTTCCAGAGACTGCTGGAAACTCCCAAAATGCCTTTGACCAATGTGCACAGACTAACAGCAAATTAAGGAAACCTTAATGGCTGGACTGTCAGATCTTGTGTCCTAGTGGGACATGAAAGATCTACATGCCTGAGAGTGACACTAGAGGATTTTTCTGCACTGTTCTGCCATGTTATTACAAGCTCTGCTTTCTGTCTCCCTTTGTTTGAAAGAAGTGCCTCAACACAAACTTCACAGGTTATTTAGGACAATGCTACATTAACTGTGCTCTCTTTAATTTTTGTGTTCTGTTTTGTTTAAATGGTTTGTTAATGGAGGAAAGAATCCTTGGCATACTGATAGAAGATGACAAGACTACTGCAACACCATCAGAATAAATAAAAATCAATAGGTTTTCTGCTGGTGTTGGCTGTAAAAGAGAGGAAAGCTATTTATCAAGTCTGACAAGGGGTCCAGAACTGCAGGATCATCATAGGCATCACAGCAAAAAAGAAGAGGAACAAAATAAGAAATACTAAATAGGGGATCAAGGTTGGTACAGCAAGATCACTAACATGTCAGCTTGTTTCAATACATAACAGCTGAGGAGAGCATGACAGGAACACTGGGAAATGTTTCTGTTATTTAGAGCCTCTAGGTATTATAATTCACCAATTCCTCATGAATTAGATCTTGGATCAACTTTCAGTGATTGGTGTTGTTCCCACTCAACAGATAAAAGTTGTTTCATGTGCAGAGAATTTAAGCAGCTTCTGTCAGATCACCCACAGGCAGTCAATGGAAGAGCTGGAAGTGACATTTCTTGGGTTTCCTGCCTCCTTTCTCTCATTTCTCATTCTTAGTGCTTCCACAGCAATGGCACTATGAAGTTCATTCAGGGGTCTTACTAGAAAGAGCTTATTATTAGATCTGCTACCAACTCCAGTGGCATCTCTTGTGGGATGCTCCCCAGTCTTACTGCAGGATCAAGCTTACAAGTCTATTGCTTTATTCAACAACACTACAGTATTTGTGTTCCATGTTATCCAGAGCCAAACCTTCCTTCAGCTGAAGTGGACTCCTTTAGGAATCTTTACATGCTTGTTAGAAAAAGAGAATTTAAAAGGGAGAACACCCAAGACATAGAAATCCATAAAAGCAACAGTGAAATGGTGCACAGCTTTTGAAGACAAATTGAGAAAAGAGAAACCTGGAGACGATGTCAGAAACTCTTGAAAAAGGTTACCAAAACAACTCAATGCAGACATACAGAAATCACTATATTGGCTACCCAACAACTCTATAATCTCTAGTTTCAGTTCATTACCTGTAACTTCGAAAAATTCAAAATTCCTGGAATCACCTTTTCATCATTTGCTAGCTGGCTGTTGGAGATATTTGCCATACTATAGGGAAATTCCTCATCTCGATTAACTTCTCAGTGACATTACAGTGCTTCTTTGAAGTGACAAGGGTAAAGCTCGCCTCTGCCCACAGCCCCAGGTGCCTCTATGGAGCACTGCAGATTAAATCTCAGCAACACACTTTAGCTCTGTCTTGAGTCTCATCCTCCAGCAGCCAGGCCGTAGTAGCTTCTCACTTGTCACTCTTGCTAGCCCTGAAACCATCCTTTCTTGGATTTCTGAAATGGAGATATCAGGAACCTGTGTCTCTGAACTCTCTGTCCCTTGGTGCATCTTTTGTCTAAAGTGATTGTTATGGGGGCTGCAAGGAGTTGTTAACATATATTGTTCTGTCACAGGCTAACAGCTCCCAGTTCTCTCAGAGCATGCAGCCAGACAAGCCTATGTTTGGAGTGGCACTAGGAGCTGCAGCACTCAAAGGGAACCCCTCTCCAAAGACACTCATGAGGTCTGCAGTCTCTCCAGAGTCATAGAGGAACAAAGTTAAGGCAGTCATCCAGAGCGAACAGCGTGCAAGACTTTGGTGTGGGATTTTGTCAAAGGAATTGATATCTTGGAAGGAGAAATAAGGACTGTCCTAGTAATATTTATAAATATGCATGAAATATCATATCTAGGTTCTTACACAATAAATTAGTACCAAATTTCTGTTTGTAATTCAAAGCAGAGAGGAAAGGTTTATTATAAACAGGATGTCTTGCAGATAATGCCGGATACTCTGTAGTATGGCCAATACAAGAACATGGTATTTTTGTTTCCATGCTGCTGTAAAGGTTCTGAGAGAGTACCAAATATGGGAGAGTTTAAAAGTGAAATCATAATTAATGAGCATTGATTTCCTTTGTGAAGTGTTGGTATAGCTTCTAAATTAAGCAACAGCAGGAAAAGCACATGGGCAAGGACTTAAGTTGCATTAACTTCAAATCCCAGGATTGCTAACATATTTGGGTAGAAAATGAAATGCAAGGCTGAGAACATCCATTCAACAATGTTTCTTAATCTCACATGGGCTTACTGCAAGTGTCTGTGTAGGGATGGACAGACTTCTGGTGAAGGTGTGGGAGAGAAAAGCAAAGTTGAACCTTTCAGGCAGACCTGCCCCACTCCTCTTTTTCCCACTTGCTGTTGAATGGGAGGAGAAAGTGACAATTTCCAGGTCATCCTAAGCCCATGCACAGTCGCACACCTTCCCACAGAGCTTGGAAGAAGCAGCATGGGCAAAGCTGATTATCAGGCTAAAAATAAATGTCTCAGTCTTTGCATGCAAGACAGCTACCAGGCACTGGCCAGCCCTCCATTTTACCTCCTACCATTATTCCTGCAGTCCACCTCCACCAACAAGCTGTGCAAACAGAGTGCCACAGCTTCTCCTCCCAGCCCGGTTGGATCAGCCAGAGCCTGCAAAGCCATTCATGCCCAGCCCCAAAGCAGGATCCCTGGGGCTCCACTCTCTTGCCCTCACCGTGCTCCTCAGCCAAGCCTGCCCGGCAGGTGCTGGCAGAGGTTGCTCTCCACAAATTGAGGGGAGTGCAGCGCTATCTTTTGTTAGTCCACAAGCAAAGAGCCAATGACCTGCAGTAAGGCAGATTAATTTCCACCAGCAAAATGCAAAACTCTCCTCTCCCCATCGTGCCTTGTGCAACTAATCGCTTGCATATTTAAGCACCCTTGCCTTGCTGAAATTTCGTGATGGAGTTGGTGACAGAGCAAATGTCAGGGCGCATAACCAATGGCATTGTCCGTCGTGATTAATCAGCATCTCCGCCAGGCTGGCGGCCAATTAGAATTTACCATAATAAGGAGGTGACAGCCGGCGTTGCTAGGCGACCACTGTCTATAGAGCTGGGAGAGCCAGACACATTTAGATGTTACTGTGGATTTCGACAGCGGCATGTCAAAACAACACAGGCGTCTGCCCAGTGGAAAATTTTACAGCCCAGGACTGGGCACCAGAGTGAGGCATGATTCCCTTTCAGAATAAAACATAAAAAGAAAGAGGTGATTTTTTTGTTGTTGTTGTGGGGTTGTTTTTTGTAGTTCTCCTTGAAAGAAGACTTTAACCAGTCAATCATTTATATACATTTAATTAAGAGATATCACTGGAACAGGACTTTGTTACTGGGTAATGGGCTCCCATGGCTGAGCAAATGCTGATACATTTATAGGAAATTAGCAGCAGGTCAGCACAGAGACATTTATTTTCAGTCAGAGGTATTTATCTGGCAATGACATTCTGTTCCAGTGACTTATTTTATTATATGAAAGGATTAAAGAATAAAAGGAGGAGGGAAGGGGAAGGAGATGGAGAATTGAAAATAGACTGACAGCAGTTCCTATGCTAACATGAGAGTTGCTGACTCTGCACATCAAGAAAAGCTATGTTCCAACTGGGAGCAATAACCTTTCCTGGACTTAAACTTACTCCTAATAGGGCAGGGGAGACGAAGGGGTAAGGGTCCTTCTTGAGTATGCTACGCTTTAATGGAGAAACTGACTTAAACAGATAATCATATCCTCAGATGAGCGATTTGGATTTTCACCAGTCTATGATCTGAACCGTGCCATATGGAAGCTCTGCTGCATGTGCTCTTCAGGTCTAAATAAAGTGGCACAAAGTAGCAGGTTTTACCTATCCTTAATATGGACGTACATAAAGCAGATGCCTACACAAGTCTTCTAAATTATGAAAGCAGCAATGTCTACACCTTACCTCTTTCAGTTTGGTATCGCTGAAGGCTGGGGTCAGGAGGCTCCGCACATATTTCCATCTGTCATCACGAAGACAAAGGATGCTATCAAGCATTGGCTTGGATATCAAGTTCGGTTTCTAAGTTGAAAGAAAACATAATTCAGTTTAAACACAAATGCAACTACAGCTACTCAAGACTCTGGAACTTGGGAAGATTGCTCAGGAATGGCATTGCACTGCTGTCCAATGAAGAGAGGTTCAAATCAGTCCCAAACACCAAGCTAAATGTGGATGAGGCTGGAGAAAATTTATCTTTTATTGCACTCATTTTCTCTTGGGCTTTAAAAGTCCTGCACCAGTTCCTTTCTCTGACTGCTCTGGCTCCAACGTTCCTGGTGCTCTCCTGAGATCATCTTCACTGAACCCTGGCTTCTTCCCTATCTTTCTAGGGCAAGAGGACTTGTCAACACTCCCTCTCCATGTGCCATGAGTGCCAACACACCGCATGCCGGTGTTGGTGGAGGACATAATTTCTGGTGACAGCTGGTATGTCAGACTGTCACATGCATTTTAAAAGTCTTCAGAAAATATGTTGATTAGAAAGCAAGACCCAGTCCTTACTCTGTTTACAAGGAACACTCTCACTAAGAAGTTGTGGCCCGTGACTCTTATAGCTGCAGCATTTGGTCAAATATAGTAGCTTAAAGTTCTATACCAAAATGATTACTCTGAATTTACTAAATCTTCCTGCCATCTAAGAAATTCTTGTCCAGAAAACAGGGATATTCACCAAGGAGTGAAAGGATATAAAAGACAAAAGAGAAAGTACATCAGAAAACAACACACTTCTGCCTGGAAGAAGAATCAGAAGATATCCAGTCCCACAGCACAAAATATAACATTTTATTCTATGTCAGAAGATGCTTCCTAATTGTTCCTGAAGACCTCCAATAATAGAGGTTCAGGGACCTCCCCACTCAAACTTTTCCAGTGCTGTACTACTTTTACCATGGTAGAACAATCTCTCTCTCTTGCTGGAACTTTTGTCTTTGTGCTGTCCAGGCATAGAAGTCAGCTTATGCTCCCTATCTTTGCAGCAGTCCATACATACAGAATGCTATAACAACCACTAAACATATTGCAGCCATCTACCCCACATAACACCATTTCACTCAATGCATATTTATCAGTTATGCTATCTAGGACTATTTGCTCAGTGTTGGTAGTGCTCCTCTGCATAGTCTTGTTGATTTACTGCTTTCTTAAGGTACAGTCCCTGTGACCCAACATGGTACTCCAGGCAAGAAAGGATTTTATTTCCCCTCCTCCCCCAAACCCAGACATTCTGCAAGTTTTCTTACTCTCTATTCACCCTGGAATATTACATACAACAGCATGGCACTGCACTCATGAACTGGTTTGTGGTTCCCTGCAACTTCCAGACTTCTTTCTGAACAATCACCCCCTAGGAAGTTATTCCCTATCCTTTATGCTTAAAGCTGGTTACTCCCCAGAGTCATATGTAGAACATGTCCCTTTGAACTATGACCATTCCCTTTAAGATTATTTGTTCAAATGAATAACACCACCTCGAATTTTAACCCTTTCTTTCGTAGCCTCTTTCATCCTTACCAGCTTCCTACATAAATTGTTAGCATTCTCAGTGCCATCATCTAAATCATAACAAAATTACAGAACAATTCTTGCAAAGAAGGCACCTTGTGCTCCTCCCTTTGGAACAGTGGACTGTTCCAAAATGCATTTTAGTCATTGTACAGCAATGTCCTCCAGAAAAACCACCCTAAGATAGGTTGGTGGGTGAGGGCAGGTCTACACTTCTCTGGTTACAGGAGGTACAGAGACATTCATTTGTGTATGTGAGATCTGGATACTGCAGCAGCAGTACAGTTCCCCATGTCACCAGTAGAAACAGTATCCATTTTACTGGGAGAGATTCAAACAAACCAATGATGCTTTGGCCACCCCAATGCCATCTGTTGACCTCTTTTTCCTCTGACCTTTCCCGTCAGTCTTTTTTTCATTACTACAGTACATGAAAAATGAATTCTTACAACCTGTTACACACCTGGATACTTTAATATAATTTTGTGCCTCACTCTTTCTGATTTTATTGCCACTATATGCTATTTTTTTATAATTTTTCTTGGAAATCTGACCTACTTTCCACTCTGTAAAAAAAACAACTTGTCTTCAGGAGCCATGAAGGACTGGCAATTTAGCTACACTGGTCTTCCACTGCACTTCCTTAACTTTCCTCCTTATTGGAAGAGATTGCACTTAATATCATTTCTTTAAGGAGTTGCCAGCTCTCCTTAACACCTTTTTTCCTTTACACTTGCCAAATCCTTACTACACTGCATAAGCTTGTAAAATGCAAAACCCTATTTTATATTACACACAGGCTAATGGGATAGTTTTACATTCTCAGCAACACCATCCAGTGTAGTAAACTAATGTCACTGGGACAACGCTACAAACCAGTTTTGAGCAAAGATGAGCAGCTTTCAAGTAAAAAATTACATATTAAGATGAAGGAAGAGATTGACTTAGGTACTGTCATCAGATGAATACTGTAAAACAAAATAAGGGCACTTTTAAAATGTATGTATAGACTATTCTATTTTGTACAATAACAAGGAAAACCTTGGACAGGCTGTCAGAGTTGAAACATCCTGGACTGTTTTCTCTGAATAGCCTCTTTAAATAAATAATCTGTTTTCTAACTTGTCAGTAGGCATCTTTCCTGAAGATCACAAGTACAGCTTGAAAGACCATCACTCAGTGGAGCGCTGTGTCATTTGTTACAGATATTCAAAGGCTCAGTAGAATCAGAAGAAAGAGCCTCTAGACAGCTGGATGATGCTTCCCAGCAGAAGCATCATCCTGTCAGAAAATCCTGTATGCTACCCTCTGCTTCACAGTTCTGTGCTGCTAGGGCAGCCATTTACACTAGATCTTGACTCAGCTGGTCACTAAATGAGTATTCCTTATATCTTCAGTCTTCATTTCAAACCCTGACACCCAGATTGCAGTGCTCCTGAGTGCTCACTGAAATCAACAGCAGGGAAAGTGCCTTGATCCTGTGAAATGCATTAGTCCAAGAAATCAGGTCATTGAGTGCAGCTCCCTAATTAGCAAACACTCTCAGACCTGTGTTTCAACCACCAGCTTTCACTTCTGCTTTATAAAGTGGATATATCACATCACCTCCTCAGAAATGCTAACGATACATTAACATTTCTGAGGCACTCAGAATGAAATAGCAGAAATACAATGAAAGAGCAGAATAACAATTCCCACAAGGAAATGACCAATTTTGTGTTCCAAGCAAGGTTTAAATAGCATACAGGGAAAAAAAAAGAAAAAAGAAAACCAGAAAAAATTACAGGGCAACACTTGGAAAAGTATTTTGCATCCAGCCCTAAATTGAAGGCTGCCCAAACTGCGCACTCTATAAGATAAATCTTCTTTGCAAGACAAAGCTCCACTTAGATAATAACAGATGTGATATAAATCTCACTGCATTTGTCTTGAAAGCAAATTCCCTTCCTAAAACCAAACGTTCACCCTAAAAAGTGCTCATAATTGCATAAAGACTGTATACAGCACAGTCACAGAGGGACCCAGTTACTGAACAAAAAGCCTGTTAACTACAATATTATAACTACAACACTAACTATAGCATTGCCTTTTTAGCACTCTACTTTATGACAGTAATGCTCCCTTAACATAATTTTGGTGTGCACAGTATTATAAACATATAAAAGCTGCGAGGATGGAAAACTAGCTTTGTCCATAATTATTTTACTCTGCATCTTTAAAACTGGACACACAAAAATATGTTTGTGTTTATTAGAATACCATCAGCATGACTGACAGTGTATAGCAGATTTCATTTATCAGGTTTTCTTTATTGTTTGTGCAAACACTTTCTTTCTAATTGCATAACCTGTGTTACAGATTCATACAGCAGGAATGAAAATGGATTTGGTATGAGAATGAGCCTGAAGTATCTCATTGAAAGATGAAGTGTCATCTTTTTCCAAATGGACAAAGTACTAGATGTATCTAAAAAATCTTGAGCATATAAAAATCACTGAAAAAATTACCAGAGGAGGCAGCTGTAATATTTTCAGGGGCGGTACTTTGGTTTTTGGGCAACAAAGGAGGTTGTCTTTAAGTCAAAGGCAATTAGGATCATGTTCCATCTAGCATAATCTAAATACTGAACAATAGCTCTGTGCTTCTTTCTGATACAGCAATGCTCCATGAACACTACTGGCAGCATGGCAATCTCTTGCAGTGTACCTGCAAGTGCTGCTGAGTTCCCACAATCACAGACATGCCATCAACCACAATAAGGAAAATTGGATTGATTTGCTTGCAAACAAATCCTTTAAAACATGACTGTTTTTAAAAGAGAAAACAAAATAAGATTTGCAGATGGGCGGCATCTCTGCAATTAATGCAGAAATTCCCTCCCACATAAGGTGTTCCTCAGGATGACCCCTCAGACCCAGTTATTGGCTTATTTGTCATGAGTTCAATTTGGCTTCCTCTGTGTTACTAAATAATTCAGGCAAGCAAATCTTTGGCTCTGAGGCCAAGTGGAACAGAACACCCCCTGTCCCCAAAGTTAAATCCCTTTCCCAAAAACAATGGAGGTATCCAAACTGCTTCTGGTCATGGTACATGTTCTTCTCTTGGACTGTGCCCAGACCATGCCTGGGAGACAACTAATCAATATACAACACAACTGTGCTAAGAAGAATGTCAAATGGCTATCTGTAGGACATATTCATGCACTAATATCCTGACCCTGTATCTTGGAGTAAAACTGTAGCCTTCTGTGATTCATACAATATGTGTTCCTTTCCCAAGTTTGTCACTAGCAGGGTAGACTGAACCTCTGGCAGACAGTAGTGACTGAACCTTTGGCAGACAGCAATGACTGCCTAGAGCAGAAAGAAGGGTAACAGTACCATTATGTTCCCTTAGACACCTCTTCTCATTTCTTTGGCAGAAAAATGAGGGATAAAGTTTTCCCAGCAGAAGGCGGTTAATGCAGCCATGCACACTTTAAGTATCCTGAAGAGATGAATCTTCAAAGAAGCTAA